TGTGAAATAATACGACTTTGACGCACATCAAAAAATAATCCGATGAAACAAATTTTTTTAGCAGCGCGTTGTGTTGACCTCTAAGCGAAAATTCAGCGCATTGCAGAGAATTGCGGAGGCCTAGAACAATCTGCTGTCTGGCGGTTTGGCTCTTGAGCTGTGAGCTGTGACACCTCGTCTAACTAAGCAAAAAGATCGCCGCACAGTAGAGCGAGTCATTGGAATGAGCCGGACCCGAAATTTTGGACAAAAACTGCTAATCTTGGAGTTTATTTCGTTGAATTTTAACTTTTTTAAAAGGGGTGCGTCTTGAGGGAAATTTTACGATAAAACCAATTGAACCACTTAAAACCTCGACGATTTTTGTTAACGGAGTTAAAAGCCTTTCAAGTATCCACTTTTTGTCCGACTTCTTCCTCTGACTCTTCCTGCACTGGAAAAAAAAAAAAAACACATTGGATCTAGAGTCCAGACTCTTAAAAAACATCGACAAGAAAAAGTACTCTTGATTCAATCAGAATCTAGCTTAAATCAAGAACCAAGCTTCTTAATTTAAGCGGATTTCGTTTTGATTCAAGCAAAAATCCGATTGAATCAAGAGTATTTATTCTTGTCAATGTTTTCAAGAGTCTGGACTCTAGAATAGGGCTTTTTTTTATGCGGATCGCAGTGGATCGCGAGGAACATCGGTATTTTTTTATTCCGTTCCTCAGCGTGATCCAAGCGTTCCAGGTGGATCAGGGTGGAACGCTGGATCGCTCTTCCGAGGTGGGGCGAGCTCGCGATCCACTGTGATCCTAACCTGATGCGAGGAAGTCGCCGTCCCCAAAAAATCAAAACAATAACAAATCGAACCAAATTCCAAGTTTGGATTTTTTTATCACTTGGAACACTCGGATCGGTCCGGATCGCTCAGGATTCCGATCCAGCGCGTTCCACTGCGATCCACCCTGATCCGCGATAAAAAAAAAGCCCTAATGTGTTTTTTTTCCCAGTGTGTTGTGCGGCGTGGGGGGGGGGGGGGGGGGGGGGGGTCGAAAAACGAGAGGGTTCCCAAAATATGAAGGCACCGAGACAGCCGGGCGTCCACTGTCCACTCATCGCGACGCGACGGGAGGCATAATTAATTACCGAGTAGTAATAGTAGGAGTTGCAGAGAGGAGGGCCAAGGATAACGTTCTTGGGCGCTAATCTGACGAGTCAACATTAGTCATGAGTAACGCGTCTTCTAGTCTGGACTGAACAGGTGCTTGGAATTCCAGATTTTTTCGCAGACCCGATCTGGCTATTCGCCGACCGAGAAAGCACGTACAAGACAATTCATCATGGGTGGATAGAGGGAAATACATTAAGAACAGACTCAAATTGCAAAAAGTTAGAAGCACTTCATGCGCTTAATGTAATTCAGGTCGATTTAATAATAGTCTGTGTGTTGATTTTTCTGAAGAGAAAGGGGCAATGAGCTTCATTTGCTTACTTAATTACACCACACTTCGAATAAGTAAATTCTGATTCGTAGTATCAACCACCTATTCCGCGTAAGCCCTCTCTTCCAAATCCGATGAGACTTTAGATATTTTTAAAGAAAATGGAAGAAAAAAAAAAAAAAAAAAAAAAAAAAAAAAAAAAAAAAAACGGGTACCTATTAATATGCACTAGACTCAATGGGCAATTCTATTACTTTAATATCGCTTCAGATTTAGTTAGTAAGTGTATTTTTACCAACATTAAGGTCTGAAAGTCACGTATTTTTTTTTAAAACCAATTTCAAGTAGCGTATCGGCTAACCCCATGCTTATTACCCCAGCCTCAGGTGACCATTGCCTGAGACCATCAAACTTAGGTCATTTGGCCAGGAATCAAACCCGGAACCTCTCAGTCATAGGGTCAGTGCTACAACCATTGCACTACAGGAGGCTATGTTTTTGTTGAGGTGTTCAACCTAACGGCGCGGCAATTGTATCCTTATCAAGTCAGGGATAGCTTTGTTCTCTTCCATTAATTTTGTTGGAAGAGGCTGAATTTAGAATGCATGAAAAGAAAATGTTCATCAATGAAAATAAAGAACTTGTGTAGTGCTATGTATTAGCAGTCATTAAGCATTCACTATGTTAATTGCTACCTTAAGGGATCATTCCGGTCAACTTAACAGTATCGCTGTAAGTCCGACGAAACTATTATTTCTTAAAAAGAGCACTGAAACTTGGACTGTACGTAGGTACCTATTGAAGTTTCGGTGTTGCACAACTGGTCTTCCAGTAAAAAAGGAACTCACAAAATTCCCGACATTTAGGAAAAAACTACAGCAACAATCGATCAAAACTGGAAGAGTAATTTTGAAACTTTGTTTAGAATTTCAGTTTCTGAAAAACTTGGGATAAGTTTCAAATCCCTTGAGGATAGTTTGAAAAGATTATAAGAGACACAAAACTCTGTAAATGCTACTTTCATCACTATCACCTTGATGGTGGCTATGGGTCTCCGCAAACAGAATATAGACGATGGACATTCACTTCTTACTTTTATCTTCCATTCACCCTCAGAGAACAGAAAATGGCATCTATTTTTGTTCTGATTTTCAGTACCGGCTCATAAAAGGAGAAACAGTGCATATTCAGCAATGGATTTTGGAAATTGAATTTTCTTACAATAAAATGTTTCATAGAATGGCTAGGGAGCTGAAATGGGCAAAAGCAGTGCTCATTTTTAAGGCTTGGATGAGATAAATAAATAGTTTCGTTTCGATTTCAAACAGAAGAAACTGTCGGCATTTGATAAACTATTTGACTTTGTTTCGGACAAATCTCACGCCTTAATTGCTGGGGAAAAGAAAACTCATGACTCTGAAAATTAAATGAGTGATGTTAGGCGTGTGCATTCAGAGAATGAAACTGGTCGAGTCCCAAGTGCTGCTGCCAAACAGCAAGATTCATAAAAGACTCTGATAAGCAAACCCTGACAAATGATCCAGATTTATTTCTTTTGTTTTCTGTTGAAGTTAGTTTCATTTTATAGCCACCAGCAGGCTGATTATTGAGAGTTTTAAAGCAGCATAATAGGACATCAAAATGCAATATACTACATAGTTAAGAAAGGAACGTCTTGTCTTGTCGTATCAACATAGATTCAATGATCAGGCTACAGGTTGACAGAGGGCTTGATGCCACCCCAAACATCCCAGGCATTTCAATGATTATTTTAGCGTTGCTAACTCATACTCATGCGTTAGTGATTCAGGTACCTAGTAATTGGAAGTGATGATTGACACGGTATTTTCATGAAACGGGCAAGGAGAGTGCCTGAAGGAGTGGATGAAAAAAGTACCTTCCAGGCAGGACACTAAAGGCAGTCTACTTCAAGTAGTTTGATCAAATGTTGCAATAATTTTCTTTAAAAGTAGGAATTTTGGTTTGTTACAATCAATATTACTGTTCAGAAATCATTGCATAAAATATTTGCATCATCTACATCCGCTAATACAGCGAACCAATTGGGATTCCATGTTGGCCCAGCTGGTTAGCAAGTTGTTGATTCTGATATGAATTTTAGGCGATGAAAATTATAAATTCCCTTTGAAGCAGTCACACAATATCGCCTAAACTTAAAGGTTCCCCACTCATGATCAGTTCAGCTATACGGTGCAATACTCGGGCACTCATTGACAATGTACCTAGATTCTGTGAGCAGCGCTAGATCTGGATAATTTCTCATTGATCCTAGAAATCAGGCAGATATCATGTTCATATGCTAGGGAAAAAGTCCCTGTACATATTGGTCTAGAACGTAACACCTCTACAAGAGGCAGCATCTTACAATTTTCAGGCCACACTTCCGGCAGCAACCAAAGCACATGGAACATGTGGCTACATGACGTAAGTATTTGAAACAACCGAGGACAGAAAAATGTAAGTATGGATGAAATATTGTTCAGCAAGTAATCATTTGCGGATTTTGAAGAGTTAATTACTACTAATTTGAAATATTGACAACTGAAGATAGTATGAAAGCATGCCTGATGGAGCATTCTAGATTGGGCACTTACTGGACTTCTAATTCAAAAAATTTTAGGGAAAAGAACTAATTGAAACAAATTTCTTACTCCCTACATAGAATAGATTGAATACTCACCCAATAGGCGACAAAAAGTAGTCTCTTCAAGATCAGAAAATCCAAAAACTAGACAGGTGCATCTGACAGTGAACTCACATGAAAGGACGGCGGGAAACAGCGGGAAATGAGGAGCAGGAAAGAAAGGATGTTTACATCGGCAATGGGAGAGTTAGGTTAAGTTATGGACAAAACAACCGTTACGCATTGCGTTCAATTCTAATTGCAGATTACAGACAGGGCAAGGTCAATGACTTGCCTAAGAGAATTGCAGTGAACCGATAGCGTGACCTACTGTGAGATGCATTCCTACCTCACTCGATCGCTGCGCGAGCGATGAATGAAAACGCAGAGAGAGGAGATAACAGAAGGATAAGAGCTGGAACGAGTGGTTGGCTGTGCTGGCAAAATTCTCAGAATCGACGATGATGCGAAACAGCGCTGTGGACAAAAATGAGCAAGATTTACCTGGACTATGGGGTTATTCCTGAGGAGCGATGCGAAACTCACTGACACTCGGCTATAATCACTTAAAAACACTCTGGAACGAAACACAGACACTGCACTCCCGACCGCCATAATGCCATCACCGAGACTGGGCGACTCGTGGGATAGGGCACGGTGCCGTTGCGACCAACTAATGTTTGGTTTCCGAGACGGAGTTCAAACCCGTTTCGCGGCGTCGCGACGCCTTGCGCACTGGGTTTTCACTTCGGAAGAACTGGCCACAGTGATGCAACTCCAACAACAAAAACAAAACTTCGATGCAGTTCCCACGCCACGTTGTCGCTTCGAAAGAGCTTTCATTAATTGCTCAGCAGTGTTGCCAAGTGTGACTGAGCTGAAAAGGGTAAAAAGCGCGTTTTCCGTATCGAAGTCTGTAGGTAGCGAGTCGGAAGCAAATTTCGGGGGGGGGGGGAAGGGGGGCAATCTCAGATCATAAATTTCTCCCAGGTGAAGAGGGATCAATTGTAAAAATTTCCTGGAGATGCAAAAATTTATCTTTTTGAGGGGGGACAGGGGGTGGATGGCACCCCCAAGGACTTACACTTGTTGAAGCCTTTGAAGGGGGCTAATAGAAGTTGTTGCGCTCCTAACAAATATGAGTAAAGGCTGACCCCCTCCTATGACCGATTTGGGTAAAAGTATTGAATATTTAAAAATTCGAAGTTTTTCTCTTCACCCCCTTCCGCCAATAAGACTATACTTTCTGATTTCTATTTCTCTGTCATGAACTTTCTCTCAAATTCATCTTTCTGAAACACCAAAAAAGTTTTTGCTCTGTTTTAGAGCACTCAAGTATTCTTTCTACTTTAAATTTAAACAGGAAAAAACAGGATTCGATTAACAATTTTTCCACAGAGAACTGGTCGGACTTTTCCAACCCTTGATTTTGAAAGTGATAAAATATTTTTTATTTTTGTTTTTCTTATCATGTTTAACAAGAATGAAAAAAATAATATCAAAATAAAATGAGAGTAATAAAAAAAGCATCACTATGAAATCTGTTGCCTCATTTGCCAAATCGCCCTCTCCCCCAAAATTTTCCCACTAGGTTCCGTCCTTGTGACCATCATGGGTCCATATGAGATTGTCATACCTATGACAATGCGGGAATACTTGATACTTACTGATAGTGTAATTTTGAAATTTCAGAATAGTAGAAAAGATTGGAATCACTGGACAGATTTTTCAAAAGATAGGTTTTTCAGACCCCATCTCTGAATAAAATCGATTGTCCCTGGCCAATTTAGATAATTTTTGGCAAATTGCTACCTTGGGAGGATTGAGTATCAAAGTTTGAAACATTCAAATACCTGAAACTCACACATTGAAGATTTTGCCACTTGGTTTGAACTGACTATTTTTAAAAAAAAAATATTCTTTATCAATATAATATGAAAAGTTCTTCGAAACCTTAATTAAAGATCAGATAAGAGAAAACTTTCCTTAAAAAAAGTAGGTATATACCTTGTAAATAGCTCAAGCTTCGCGCTGGAAAATTTTTTCTGACAGGAATCACAGCCTCCGATTGATATCTATTATTGGATTTTGCCCTCTCCAATTTCAGTTGGTTCAGTTTAGTTTGAACATTTCATACTCTGGCGTAATTGGATTAATGATTCATTGTAAAGCCTTATTTGGAGTTCCTTTTTTAAAAAAACAAAATTCTGCCTTTTTAATGTGAAATTATTTTAATATTTTGACTTTGACCCTGCTTCTCCCTCTGAAAAATTTTTTGGGGACTGGGGGAAATGACAATAATTTAGGCATGCCATTCTATCGGATTCGAACTTCCGTATCGAGCCACACATGAACTTTCTTTAATAAACCCTTTGAAAAATATGCATCTAATTAGAGGGATCCTCTGTTCTCATTTCAAAGGCTCAACAGTCTCTAGTCATGATGCATATCATATCAAGAGATTAACCCACTATTTATTTAACTTATGGACATTGGACAGTGTAAGTTGGCAATCACATAACTCGGTTTGCGACGTCGCAGACTTCCTACCATACTTAATGTTTTAAACGGAAAACTACTCGACGGCAATTCTTTAAAACTGCTGTGATTTTTCTTCTCTGTGCGAAGAAAATTCTGCTAAAACTTCACGGAATGATGTCAATTTGTTCTCCTTTAAAAAAATAACATAGAGGATGAGATTTTCAGCCACTGCAAACAAGTTATGTGATTGCCGACTTACACTGTCGATATAGGTAGTTGTCATAGATTTTGCAGAATTTATCATAATGTACTTTTTCCTGAAGCAAAATATTTTTCCTTGAGAAATCTCAGTAATCTCATGGAAGATTACAGGCATAAATTAATCAATTTGATGAGATGAACAGTTCCATGATTGGAGTAATATTGCAATGCACTACTATGATCATGGTTGGAGGCATCTAGATCAGAAAAAAATCAGACAGTTTTTATTAGTCAACATTTTATTGAACTGATTCATCAATAAATAAATAAATAAACAAGTAAATTTAAAAAAATTAATTACACAGCAGTTACAATTTTACACGTTAGGCAACATGAAACATCAGTAACAAGTAGGTGAAAGCATTTGTGAAACAGGGAGGGTTACTCCAGAAATTAGAAAATATGTATTAGCACAGGGTGGGCATTATTAGCACAAAGACACTTGATACAAAATAAAATAAAAATGAAATTACAGAAACAGAAGTGCAAATCTATGCAAAGAATTTAATAATTTATGGCACAATAAATCCATCTTCGATCAGATAATCAGCAACTCCTAAATCATTTATCGGATTAAAGGGGACTTCCAAAATTAAAATGGCACTTTTTAGGGAGCTTTACCACTGTGGGGAAACAGGATAAATTTTTAACAAATTCCAAGCACTGAAAAACAGACATGAACTTCTCTCTGAGTGGCGTAGTAATTCATAATTGCAGTCTAAGAATTACTTGTTACAAAAGCATGCAGAAACCAGAATAAATATGGTAACCTATAACAAATGTGAGTGCTAGCATGACAAAATGACTATTTGCTTGTCTTGATTATTTAAAATCACATTAATTTAAAGTGGCGATGGTGCACTTTCCAGACTTGTTTCCTTAAAATACTGATGGTTTTTCTGGAACTTCAACAGCTTTAACAGCACTTCTGTGCCTTCAACTTTAAAAAGTTTCAGCAGGATTTATTAGTAAATTCTTGAATAAATCACCTTGGAAACTACTATAACACCCCTCAAATGGAAACGTTTCCCAGCACGACCGAATGGACTATCCTCGGATGACTTCTCATGCTGTGTTTCCAAATTACATTGCGAGGATGGTCTATTATCTGATTGGTCAGATGCTTCTTCACACAAGAGTGACTAACAAGTACCCGCACTTGTTCTAGGTTACTCTATCTTAGACAAGTAATCTGAGGATTAATTATGAGAGAGAAGTAAAAGGAATAAGAGGAGAACCTGTATGCTGTATATTTTGTATTGTAGTATTTATATATGCTATTTTACATTCGCTGAAGCTTTTAACTTATCATGTTGAATGCTTTCAATTGTTTCATAGTATTTCTGATAGCTCTGAAAATGGGTGCAGGATGCAAGTCACCCAAAAAGCTATGGCAAAGGTGAGACAGTCTTATGTAAAAATACTACCGTAAAAATGTGTAGCATAAAGATTCTCCTCCCATTCATATTATTAGCACTATGTGGTACTCTTTCCACAATGTTTAAGTTAAAAGAGCAAAGAAAAGGTAAATTTCTATGGCAGGATAGTCTTCAATAGACCACTGGCCAAGATGCAAATTTGAGCATGAACATAAATGTTTTCTCATCAAAATTTTACGTAAAATACGGTTTGAGTGATCACAATTTTTGAAAGGAACTCCTAACCAAGATATTGATACACGAATTAAAACTTTCTGCTCAAGAAAAAAACCATAATGTACATAGTTAAATCACACACAATAAAATTCACATACCTAGACTCTGGTATTTTTTGGGGAGTAGGTAATTCTAATTATTCGCAAACAAAGCTAAATAAAGACATTAGAATCTTGGTTAGGAGTTAATTCCAGTAATTTTTGTTGCACAAATTGTGTGTTAGGTGACATCTTGAGGAGGGAGCATTTACCAGAATGCTTAGATTTGTACCTAGATAAGAGGTCCGTTTTTCGGCTAGGATCTGAAAAAGATTTGGTTCTTGGATCCAATTTAAAACAAAATGTTAGGCCTTGTACGAGCAACGGTTAATAGAACTTTGCTGGAACAAGTTCACAGAACTTTCAGCTGTGCATCGTTTTTTGCCCTTTTTCTGTGCACAAAAAAAATAAGTTATAACTCAGCTATGGCTCACTATGCCGAGGTTCCAAGAGCTCTGTGCAAGTAGACCGGTGGCGTGGCGTGAATTGCGATATATCGATTGTTATGCCATTTAAACCTATGAAAAAAGATCGATTATTAGGGTGTTCGCAGCGAACACCTTAGTAATCGATTCTTTACCATAGCTTCAAATGGCGAGATATCGATGATCGATTATTCACGCCACGCCACTGAAGTAGACAAAGTCCTAGAAACGTATGGCCTTAGCGGAATTCACAGGAAAATATGAATTAATAAAAAGAAATCCTCTGGTAGAAATCTACTGGCAAAGGGTGGAGATGTTCAGGTACCAAATTCTAAGCAAAAATTATTTGACCCACAATAGTATCCAGATGAACAGATCTTCAAACTAACATTTTAAATAAGTAGATCTTTAAGTAAGGTGCCAAGTGCTAAAATTAGATATTATTACACAGTAAAGTACAGAAACAAAACAAGTGTGAGCTTAGCAAAGTTAAGGTACTTTTTCCATTCAAGCCATGCTGGAGTGACTTTATTAATTAAAACTTTTGCATAAAAGCTATGAAACAGTTTAAATAAGAAGAAATTTAAAAATGGAAAACAATATTAGTGTCTATTTCAAGGTAACAAGAAATCAACAATTCTTTTTACAGTGATATGGGAAAAGTAGTGGCATCATTTCAAAGGAGAGAGAGCTGTTTTTTGTCTCCCTGGAGTAAGAAATTACAAAGACAGAAGCAACTTATGGCAATATCTGGCACATTTTGGAGGCTTTTCCTTCATACAATATGAGCGCATACCAATTGCGGACTTCAAGCCCTCTCAAAATTGTAATCTATGATTACACCACTGGGAAAATGGACTGAGCTTCCTAATTTGAAAAATCTACTACACAATTGTTTAACAAATCGAATAGGAATGATATAGCGCAATGAGCACTCTATAAGACTAAACAACACTGAGCCCAGCATCATAAAAAACTATTCTACGTTCTAATAGAAGAGAGGAAACATTGATAAACAGTTAACAAGACATCAAAGAAAAATCTACAAAAATTTGAAGGTCATAGCAACACTTTGTAGTGACATTGAGCCGAGCTTATTGTAATTTAACTTAGGAAATACAAGAGAATATTCCTCATACCAACTACACAATAACTCAAACAAAAATATGCTGGAGTGATCAAAACCTTGATTGATGCTGACATGGATTGGAGACTCAAGTTTTTAAACAACATGATAGCAAGCCATTAAGTCAGAATTTCATTCATTGTGAGGGAAGCTGAATTAGGATCTTATATATAAAATCATTAGAGAGCCTGTGATAAGTTTCCTCTCTTTTTTCTCTTTGTCACAGAGACTGCTGGTTAGAATCAAGAACCAATGATCCACTTATGGGAATGTTTTTCCTCAGAGATAATTAAAAATTGATTAATCAGAAACCAGAGGAAACATAACAGACCGACCTCGGAATGATGTTTAAAACATGGAGAGAAATAAAAAAGACGGAATAAGAAATATTTCAATGAGTGATTTTTTGATGCATTAATTTTTTATTGATTTATTGTCCGGTGAGAAAATTATGGTTTCTGATTGGTCAAAAAGTGCACCAGGATCTTGACAGGTCAGGAGGCTCTGAAGTCACATGACAATCAAACAACAGGTTAGGCATGATCGACTTCCTAATCTCTGTAGTAATTCTTCAGTCTCAACATCACTTACAGCAGTGTGATTCACTTATCAACATTAAAGTAAGAAAAACTTAAGTTACAAACTTTGAAAAACTAAGCGCACATTTTTGTGCATTCCAGTCAAAACTGTGAAACGTCCTTACAAAATGAAAGGTCTTTGCAATAACTTATAAAACCTTAATTATTAAACTATACATATTTACAAACATGACTTAAAAAAAATTTAATTGACTTTATACAACATTGACGATCTTGCCTCTTTTGTGCAGTCTGAATAAATGTATTCTTTCATACAAGAGCCTTCACCACTCATGTTTTAGAATTAGCTTGACAATGAGATTACAAATAATTTATTTGTATCTCTGAATAAGTTCTTTCCTGGCTTAATTGTTGTCACAGAAATTTGCTAAGTTCAGAGGTAATTAAAAATACAATGCAAATACATTTGCACTTTATTGAAATTTCAGCTTATCATTTTTTATAATATGATGAAAGCTTCTTTACGGGATAAGTTTTGAGATTCAAACCTGCAGAATGCATTACTCGTTATTATCAAAGTGGTATTTTCGATGTGTATAAATAGAGAGATGATAAAAGTGATACACCTATTTCACCATGCATGAAAATAGACTCTAAAGTCAAGCTCGTACATTATCTCACAATCAGTCTGATGAGGAAATAATAGTAAAATATGTTTAATGTTATCTGAAACATCATAGATAGTTTTATCCATAAAATTCAAACTATTGTATCCATGGTGAGTAATTCTCTGAGAGTTTTCATTCAACCTTGCTGCACTTCACCTATTCGTTTCGAACAACATTTGAAGGAGGTGAAAAATTTAAATTTGTTGGAGTGGTAAGGTTTGTTATCCTAGAAGTATCAATATAATTTGGTTTCTCTTGCATCAGTATAAAAGTTTCTGGGGATTCGACTTCTTTCAGCCTTTTAATCATTCATACAAAAGAATTATACATCAAATTAAAAAGCAGAAAGGCAAAACAAAGTATTTCCGTACACAAATACTTTGGGGTTTCTTTTTTTATACATGAAGACAAATTTATGAATGAGTTTTTACAAAGCTCAAACTGAAACAAACAAGAGGGCAAAAGAGAAGATAAGTCACGACAGTTACTCATCGTTATTTACACTATACAAATTAAGTAGGTACATTTAAATGATACAAAATAATATGAAACAATTCAAAAGTATTATAGGTTTCTAATGACTAACACAGAATTTGAAGTAGACATGGTCTTGTTCCTAAAAAGTCTCAGTGGCAAGTAAAAAATGTTTAAAAAAGAGATGATATGTGTGTGCAACTGTTGCTCATAAAAATAGTAATGCGAACAAAATGACACTTCAGATTATCTGTAAATTTTAGCTAAATTTTCTGGCAACTGAAATGATTGAAAATGACACTACATAAAAAGCAGCTAAAACTTAAGATTTCAGATGAATAACTGATATCAAGACCCTTAAATTATATTACTAAATTCTTTTCATTGGAGCATGAATTTTGCTATGGCGATTTTCAGGGGTACTCAATATATTCTAGAACATCACAGCAATCTTGCGAAAAAATCCTTCAACTAATAATGGAGTCTAAAGTCTATACCTAAAGTCAACAAAGTAAGTCTAAAATTTGTTTTAAAGTCAGCTAGCTGCATTCAAATGATAAGAGAACAGCTCCATAGAACAAAAGAAGCAATCCAAAAGTAAATCTGACATTATAGCATTCAAGACTCTTTCTTTTGGATATCCTTGTTTTTTTAGTCCTCGCTCGGGTAGTCAAAGGCCCATGGACTGGAGGCTGTGACTTGATGGCTTTAAAATTATGTTTTTTCTGTTTAATCCACAGACAACATTAAAAAATGGTTCCGAAGTTTTCTACGATAAAAATTTTCATTTGAAGTTAAAGCTCTTTTCGAAAAATTTTGATGTTACGTTATGTTTACCTTTTAGGTCCCATGGAGAAAAAGTACTTGAATGTTAGTGCCGAGTTAATTTTAAAAATAGTTCATGAAATTTCAATTGTTCCAGACTTAACATTTGCAAATATTTCCTAATGGGTTGAATTTTCCTATTTATCTGGTTTTGTCAGGGAAAGGGAGAGACGAGGACAAAAAGAAAATCATTTGTCAAATTTTAAGAATTCAACTTCAGAGGTGAAGATAGTCAACATTTTCAAAAGGCAGCTACAAAAAAACAACTGCTACATTTACTACAGATAAAAAAGGGAAAATGACCTACAGAAAAAAAAGAAGAAAAAAAAAGCTATGAAAACAGCAAGGAAAAATTTTTGAAATTGTTTTTGTTGCTGTAGAAAAAGGCTACAATGATCCAAATTAAAAGAATGATACGTTGATTTTACTGGATGGAAATGCAAACTTAGAGCTAGTTACAGAAATACGATCGTACAATAAAATAGATAATCAATTCAAATAGAACAATGGAATCTTTTAAAGTATTGTCTTTTAAACTACTTAAGAGAGTGCATCCATTTACCTCTGTTGGATAGACTTATTTCGTAGCTTGTTGCCATGCCGTTTAGGCCACTTTTTAAACCCTAGAAGAGAAAAAAAACGAAGGTTTTAAAGATTTAGAATATACAAAATTAAATATTCAACTATTTTGCTTGGTAAGAATTTTGCATACTCATTTGCAAAATTAATATATGTACATTGCAAGTGAGTACACAAAATTTTTATCATTTTACACACTTGACTTGCGACTATCCCACCACAAAGTTTCTAATTTTGCTTCGTTTTGGAATTTCTTTGCTTTTTCATTATTATACGCGCGGTAAAAAATATTAATTTAGCTCTACATTTTGCCGTCGTTTTGATGTGCAGATATGGCACCCAAAACAGCAGAATTTTATGATGTTGATTGAATTATATTAAATCAGGAATGCAGAGATGTTTTATCTTCTAAATTTTAACCAGTTTTTTCAGAAAAGCTTCCGACTTTTTCGAACCCCAAAATTCAAAAATGGATGGAAAAAAGAAGAAGAAAAAATTTATTCCCGGCGATAAGTTTTCAAACTTGACAATTGCAAAATGACTAAAACAAAATAAATGCCTTTTAGAAGTCGAGGTTCGAAGTACTCAAGTGAAGTGTTGAAAGTATCAAAACACTCCTTCTTTCTTACAATTTTGCATCTTGTTTCTCAGTGCGACTCTTCTGATTTTAACAAGAATATAATGTATTGTATTTTTAAAGCCATTTTAGTTTTTTCTAGCAACCACAACTGTAGCTGTCTGCTAGAAATCATTGGTAACATAGTGAATGAAAATTGTCATTTAATGGACGGTTCATGGAAATAGAATAAAACTGCAAGCCTATAGCAGTATAATTCAATTATGATAATAAATACTTACGAAGTGCATGTCAGGAAATCATAGAGTCACTAAGATCATCTTTGAGCCACTGAGGAATCATTCGATATCCCAAGCGCTTGAATAATTTCACAAGAGCTGTATTGTGACTTTGATAGAAACGCTAGAAAATAGTAAAAAAAAATAAAAGGAAAAACAATTAAAAAGCGGAATGAAGTACAAAATTAGTTTCTGGTTGAAACTCATACTACAGACTATAAAAATTAAAATTGCTGTTTTTCCATCCTGCAATACAAGCAGTTTGAAAAACGGCTCATGGCAAAACTAGCCGCCAGATGGGAGTCTGTTTCAAGTAATCTTTTGATCCTTAATCAATGTATAATCATGGCATCCAAAAATGAACAGAGCATAGAATATGGATCCAGGCACATTTCTTTTCAACATATTTATTCGGCATTAGTTACGAGACATTGAATATTCCGTTCATGAGATAAACATGAGTCTTCTTGAATCAAAACATGCACTTGAATGGTTTTGGCAATCTCCTCAATCAAGAATTGACCCCCCCCCCCCCCTTCAATGTTTTGGAAGGCTTCTTAATCAAGAATGTTCCCTCTCCTCATCTTACACTGTTCAAAGTGTAAACAACGTCCAAAAGCTGAGCCAAAGCACCGAGATTGAAGTTGCTATATACTTATACTGCGGAGACTGTTACGGTAACACTTAGTTCGCAATTTAAAGCAAGTGGATCATTGTTGGTTCCATGAACAGGAAGTTTGGATTAATGCCTTAAGTATCTTGGGTATTATCTTGGTTACAAGTTACTTCTAATAATTTTTTATGTACAGATCGTGTTCTACGTTAAATTTTAAATACATCTTAAGTGAACACAACAAAATTGTGGAAGAATAACAGAAGCCACTACTCTATGAAAATTTCTAAAAGAATTTAATTTCAATCACAGTTGAACCTCATCCATCCACTGCTCGATTATCCAACAAGGTGGCAATGGTGTATGTCACACTGTATGATGGTAGTGCATTGCTTATAAATGACCAGGGGCGTAGCTAGGAAATTTCTCTGGGGAGGGCCATGGGACCACCTCTCGTGGTGAAGAGAGCGAGGGGATGGGGTGAGGAATGGAGGATCCCGTTTTTCTGGCCCCCCCCCCAGACCCCCCCTAGCTACGCCCATGTAAATGACCTTTGCCTACATATTTGTCAAATCTTGGTGTCAAAAATGTAAGTATAGTCTCAGTGAGAGATAACACTTTGTTTCACATAACATTACATAAACCATCTTTCACTTCACTTATGTTATTTGTTGCTTATGTGCACATAGAAGTCATGTTATGAGTTCAGGAAAAGATGCGTTAAAGGAATCAATAGGTCCTGCCAGCAAGTCAACATTTTTAATACCTGACACTCCGTCTGCCGCTAATTATCAGACGGGCAACATTTGACTGTCATTTGGGTTTTTCCCAGTACATTGAGGAGCAAAATAAATAATTTTATATGCTTGAACCTTAAGGATAGAGGTTTTTCTTTGGCAAGATTATTTTGATATGATGTCAACAAGCTATGGATTTTGTATGAAAATTCAAAATGCTCTGTTTACATACATAATAGAAAAAATTTCGAATATCCATATTGCTTTCCATAACTTTAAATTAAATTAAAAACAGCAAGTAATACCTTTAACAGTTTGTAAGACTTTTCATCCATCGGTTTATATCCCCTTCCTTTGTTGCGTCCCAAACATTTTGTGTTATCATTCTTCAGCACTTGACAGAAAAACCCTTTTCGCGGATCATATCTAAACAGAATTACACATTTTTAAAAAGAATGTTGAAATAAATAAAAAAAGAAAAACCGGTGAGCACAATATGAAAATGTCTGGATGCCACTATCTCAACTTCTTCTATTACGGAGAAATGGGTTAGTAAGCACTTTGAATCTTATGCTGCTTTCCTTCTTGCTTTGGACTAAGTACAGAATTGTTAAGATGTTCAAAAGAAACGACTGTTACCCTCCAACTTCCCTTCTATTTCAGTTTAGAGTCCCAATTAATATTATTAATAATTCCATCAAGGTGGAGAGTTTTTTCATGAGATTGTGACCCCTTTACAGACTAGGGGTGCTGAGACAACTTTAATTTTTTAATGTCAATGCTTTACATGTATTACATTGTTCAAAAATTTCATAAACGAAGGGCATTTTTATGACGGTCAGTAAATTTTTAGCTATCACTACTTAGACATGAATGCCGTTCTAAGTTATAGAAATCTCAGTTAAAATGCACCATCACTTTATAATAGCGATAGATGCAGAGACCTCCGGTTTTTATTAAAAAGTTTAAATTTTTTCCATTTGTCAAACCATACATCACTAAATGAGATTTGGACCCATGAAATATGGAACTTTTTGGCTCCAAATCGGCGGCTTGGGTGGTCTTCTATTCAAATAGCTTCCATTAACTTCCTTAATTCAAACAATGAGGCTCTACTTCGTGTCCACTTCATTTTGCTCCAAAACACTAGGCAAGATTTAAAAAAACAAACAATTTCACAAGTATTTCTTGTCAAGCGCTTGTGTTTAAAAATTATGAACAAAATGTCAACATTTTTTTAGTTTGAAGTACCTCAAATGTTGAGAGTAGTCATAAATAGGCGTGATGTTGAGGAACTTCTGTAGCCCGGTCATAACTCCTATTGGATCCGAGCGGAGTTGATCTCCATCAATGATTTGCAGCTGTTGCATAGGGAAATAAGTGAGCCACCTTTCTAGGTGTTGAGCATATTTGCCTGGGTTCAAGCATCTGAAAATTTTGAAATTGGACGATGATAAATGAGAAGTTTAATGTTCAAACTGATAACATTTTTTCATACTTATAAAGTAATTCTAAATTGCTGTTTTGATGGTCAACAAGTAACCTCGCCACCTTAGAAAATTGCTTTTTGCTGATTTAAAAATCCACCCTTATAAAAATCAAGCAATGTCAGCAGGGATCTTTTCTCACCAAAACAACGTTAGTAGTGGGATTCATTTTGTTAAATTTTATGAAAGGTCACTTGGGCCTCAAAATGTTTGAATATTTCCAAGATATATTTTCTCCAGGAAAGCACCATTATATTTGACTTGTTCGCAAAGGCCTGTTTTTTGGAAAAAGCATCTAAGTGCGGCAGCCAATGCCTCACCCTCTATGGGTAAAAAGTAGCGACATAATTAATTTTGTATTACAATATTACTATTTTGTTTAAAAACAATTGACTCATTTATGGAAAGTGCCTTCCTTTCAAAAGGTTCGATCCTACTAACACTGTAACCGTAGCAGACCATGTAACTTACCTGTTTCGGAGATCTCTCAGATTTTTTGGGGCACTGTCATTAGCAGAAATGATGTCATAGAATGAGTAATTCAAGGCAACAGGATCACGATGAACTTTTGTGTGTTGGTACCAGCTATAGGCTCGCTTGGCGGGTGATATCAATATGGTAACCTAATATGGGAAAGAGAGTAATCAAAATATTAGGGTTACAATTAAAATAAATATGTTGACGACTCAAGACTAGTAATGATAAAAAAAATTGTATACTCCCATCATTTAAAGAAAACAGACCGCAGGTCCTTGAAATAAAACAGAGGAAAGCACCTTCTTTCTTTCTTTCTTTCTTTCTTCCTTTTTTTGCCGGACAGATGAAAAAGCCACCTCAATTCCTTGAAATTTTCTTAAAGTATTTTTTTACCAAGGGAGAGAGTTAATGGAAATTTCCAAGACATATGTTGATTGGCTTTGCATTAAAAATGCAATATGACTAAGTCTAGAACAGTGCAACAGCGGAACATTTGGGTATACAATTTCAAAGTTTGACCATTGAAACGCTCTTCAGAGCCACAAAGCTATTCATAAAAATATTTAACACTCATCGGGAGGGGGAGGGGGTGTCACAGAAAGCATTACACCATTTTAAAGAATAGGGACTTATGTCAGAAAAGCGTTACAAGGGGGGTGGGAGGGTTGAAAAATCTGAATTGTGTCAGTATGTATTACTTTATGAACGGCCCCTTCTAAATTATCAATCATGTTTTTTACCTTTAAAAAAGAAAATGGACCACTCATAATGTAAGAGTTGGATCAATAATATGAAAACATTCATACCAATTTAGCATGAGGTAAGAGTGCTTGGACTCTTTTAGGAACAAGTTCTCCATCGAAATAAGTTGCTGATTTTTCAAACAGGTACTGCGTTGTAGAATCTTTCAAAAGTGGGAAAAAATCCATATACCTGCTCAGAGAAATTGTGAATTAGGTTATTAGGTAAGCAAAAATTAGTCATTTTTTCATTTGAAGACAATTACAATAAATCAAATTAACTTTGTGGCTTTTCTTGTGCTTGTTCAGGGGCTGAACAAACTTTATTTTGGAGGAAAAAATTAATTCAGAATAATCGAGACACATAGTTTCAGCAACTGACCCATTCTAAAACTATCATTTTCGCCTGCCACACTCAGGAAAATAATGTAGTACAGCTTAAAATAATAGCTTTGGATACTTCTGAGTAGTTGAAGAACCAGTTGAATGGTGCTGAAAATTCAGTTACTGAGCACTGACAATAGACTTTAAAGGAAAACAACAAAAATTATCTGTTTAAAGCTCCCACTCTGTTCATTTAGAACTGCAAAAATCAGGAAAAAGCACATGATCATTCAGAATCACTTAGACAATACGGTTGGGTGAGGCCATTGGTAGTGATCCGCCAGAGATCCTCGGGCAAATCGCAATTCCTCATTTCCTGCCTCATACCATCAATCCACAATTTGGCATGGCGTCCTCCGGAACCTTCTTAGGCAACTCATCATCCTACATATTTTGCACCAGGTAAACTGTTTTCAAAAAGCGTCATGCATTATATTGTTTTTGATGCTCATAATTTCACACATCCTTTCATTCCAAAAGAAAAATTCATTAAACATCGAAACAACTTGTGTGCATTAATTCATGATTATTCATCCCAGGACAGCCCCAGTTGACTCGTGTGTGTGCGTGAATGGGTAGAAAGAGCTCAGACTTGACATGATCGTAGGATTCTATTGTTCAAATTTATTTCTATTATGTTCTAGGAGATATTAGTGATCAATGCATCTTACATTTACCATTTTCAAATTTTTCAGAGATGGAGCATTATATTGAGAATTGTTTTAGGAATCAAAGTAACTTGACTACATACCAATCAAGGCCTTTGTAGTAGTTATGGCCATTGAAAAACTGTATTTCCTCAAATGTTTCGATACTGGGAACATTGGATGATATGTTCGGATGCATGGCAAGAAAAGTGTACAAAGCAGTGGTGCCGGTCTTTTGTGGTCCTATCACTAGAAATCTCGGGAGTTGTTCACACGACTTATTGTGTGACCAAATTTTCATATGCCGCTGGTCTAAACATGGGTTCTGAAAAAACCAAGATAACGTATGCATAAATAAAATGAGGTGATTCCAGGATGAAATGCAGGAAGCAAACAAATAATTGCAATCAATGTACAAAGTCAAAATTTACTGTCTTTAATTAGCTTTTCGAGACTTTTTATGAAAATTATTTTGGGGCTCTGCATATGACATTAACTTATTTAGCAACTTTGGGTGGTGCGGTCACTACCCAAAGTTGCTAAATAAGTTACATAAGTTGGCTTTTACTCGTACTTAGGTGATAAGCTGCCATTTTTATTTTAAAATTTACTTATTTAACAATACAAATTGATTCCATAGACCGAATAAACAAGACTAGAAATGGTATCACTTTAAATGATGATGATAGAGTCCCTATTTTTAACTTTTATTATACTTGCGGAGCATGTTGTTTTGGAACTGCATGCAACTTCATTACCGATGTGAAAAAATTTTAAAGTGACATAAGTTGAGCTTGAGTGATATTCTGAGTTATCAAAACTAGTGCAAAGTATGCATTTTTAATATAATACTGGAGCAAAAAAGCCATACATTCAACTGTAGTGCTTGAAAAGAATTTGGTGCTTTTTTGTCGGAAAAAATTATTCTGATTTTGAAGGGAATTCACGCATGTATTCTTAAATAATGCTCTATATTATTTTTCTTTCCATGCGCACAATTCAATAATGTTCAGTGTTTTACTTAATTTATGGATGAGCCTAAATACACAAAAGCCATTACTTTAAACTTGAGAGGGAAATAGGCAAACCAGCCCTGGCAATGGCCAATTTTCAGCATGAGCCAACCATAAACAATCATTTGCTATTGAATTTCTGACACTATTATATGTACATAGTAGTACTTACCCCCCAAATAGGATCCTTTTCCTCAGGATACAGCCGAAAATATTTTTCAGCGATTGTCGTAGGAGGAGCAGAGGTGATGTTGAGATTCGTCCAACATCGCAGGAATTTTATCACAGACTCAAAAGTGTACAGACCAAGTTGATCATTCCCATAGTTGGACATATGACTCATAAATACATTGATCTAAAAAGAAAAAGTTAATGCTGCATCATATTTAAATGTACACACTTGAATGAAATTCATTAATTATATATTTGATTGTACAAATTGAAGATTCTTGTAAAATCTAAAGGAAGGCTAATGAAAGAGCATGATGAAGGCTGTGATAATGTTAGAGCATGGTGTCTAAAATTCTCAATTATGCTAATTCATACATCCCTGATTTTCAGGGTCTCAATTCCATCCCCTGATAAGAGGTTAAAGGGGTTCCAATTTCTGTTAGATTCTCTTGGGAAAACCATACTTTTCTCCTGAGTTCAGGATGAAAATATTTTTTTAAGTAACTACTTACTCTTTGCAATATTCAAATTTTTAATTTTAAAAACATTCCAGATATTCCGACTAAAGACGCTATTAGTGGCGACGTCATCATAAGGATTCTCCATTATATCGAATTGGATACAAACAATAACATTGGCATAACCTCTTTCAATGCTACCAATACGAAAAAATCAATATCAATCGCTTTACCTTGATGTGCCACTAATAATAATTAGCTGAGCTATTTTTATTCGCTATTTTCTTCTGATCATACTCAACAAGTTCTGACTCTAAGCGATGGGGGAAAAGAGTATTTAATTAATGAAAACAATGTAAAATTATGCTACTTACAGGATTATAAACAATTGTTTGGAAGAGTTCTCCTCCTTGAATGGATTCATCAAGTTTAGCTCTTCCACCAGGAAAACTTTTAATGAAAATTGTGTGAGTAAAGAGCCCGCAAGTTTGCCTTGGAATCACCTGAAAAATGAGGAAATACATGCAAAATAATTACATTTTAAGCAGATGAAGGTTCAGTAGAGCTCATAGAATAAGCAACTCCTAGATTCAAAAGAATATTCCACGCTTTTAAACACATTATCCATCCTTTTCTTAGTATCTTGGTATGCCTTCAATAGTATGGTCTCTTTGGTTACACTTGTTAAAGAGAGGAACAGATTTGTTATTTCAAGTCAAGATGATGGAAACATCCAACAATTCTTGGAGAGACTTCTACAGTTATCAAAAATTCTAAAACCGTTTATTTCTCAAAAGACTCTTGTATTGTAAAACAAGAAAAAACAGAAAAGAAAAAGAGAATAGAAACATAAAGTGAGAAATTTTCTGCTAACTTCTTTTTCCTTTTGATTTGCATTCTTTAGTTCATTCATACAAAGGCTGTCTCATGAATACGTATCACTGACACTGAATTTTGAAAACTAGGCTACATATTGAGCTGGCAATGGTTTCATTAGAACGATGAAGGAAAAAGCAATTGATCGAAATCAGAAGGTTGGCTCAATGAGTAGGGAAGCTTTTGAAACCAAGCATCAATCCCAGTAGTTATGGGATGCACTAAGTGCAATTTCTTTAAATATACAAAAGATCTGACTGATTTCTACAAAGAAGAAAGAACTTTGGCAAACCTACCATGATGTTCCGATGAATGAAACCGCGCCTTAGTCGAGCTGGCCGGAGATGTGGATATTCCTCTGTCGAGGTCACTTTGATGTTCCAAATCCGCTTCCATGCAGTGTAGAGAGGCTCATGAACTGGGTAAACACCTGAGTGATGAGGAGCAACTGAGTAGCCAGAATCAACTGGGATATTGTGTGCCTGCGAACGTTAAAAAAAGAGATAGCTTTAATCCAATCAACTGCATATTTAGTTCCTCAACTTCCTAGGGAAATTATTTCTTGATCCAGTGAATACGAAATTATGCTAAAATTATGACTATCCTTAAAATGGTGCAATGATTTGTTTTTTTGAGTAAAATGAAGCAAATTTTAAGGTTAAGATTCAAGAATTTTTTCCCCTTTCCTGGAGTATTTTTCGCCTTATTAAATACATAGGTTCATCCTTGTCTCCTACTTCGAAAAGTGGTTTCCTGAAAGTCTTCTCTCTGCAGCAAGTTGAAAAACCGTTGAGGATTGTTCTAAATTCCTTGCATTTGACCCATACTGCTTGCCTGCAGGACTTTTTAGAGGCTCTAGGAAAGCCATAAGTCTCAAAAAGGGAAGATTTAGATTGAAAGGGGGAAGGGCAAATATGTATGTAGCCCTATTAAAGTGGATGATGAGCCCTATTAAAGTGGATGAGCCTATATGTGGAGATGTTATTAACTGATGATCCTTACTCTGGCAAAGTTCCGGTTAAGAGTCATTTCAATCTCTAGAAGGGTCTGATTTTCATACAAATGTGGCTGTTGGTGATTCCACATGTGACTGAACCATGAAAACTTGTGGACGTTCTCCAGAATCATATCGTCTCCAGCATTTTCCTCTGGCGTTCCATGGTGGAAATATTTCCCAGAAAAACCTAGATTGAATTTGAATCCTGGTATCATTTTCTGCATCCTCTCTTGAGTTTCCAATATTGCCTGGTTAAAAAAGAAAACAAAAATTTACAAAAATTCACTGAGAATCCTCTCGGAAAAAGGCATGTTTCTCAACTTCTTTCTCGTGCGAGAACATACAACACATAATTTTCTTTATCTTGTTCCTCATGCTAGAGCCTTTATGAAAAGTATTTAGAGGGTATGAGAGGTCAATAATATGGTTGTTACAAAAACTATACTATACTTGCATGGTAAATCAATCTTGAAAAGGTCAGTCAAAATTGGAAAGAGGGAGTTTTCTGTGGAGCTGGATGGACTATGGCCAAAGACAACAAATTCTTTGGAAAAATATTAGTCTGGGAAACAACTCAAGTTCATTTCCCTTGAACAATTTGACATTTCTTTTTTAGTTCAAACATACACAGTGTCATTCTCGACCTTTATTATTTTACGCCCTTGTTCATTACAAACATTCTCTCTCAGCAAAACCTTTGTGAACCTCTGATAATATTCAGCAAAACCTTTGTGAACCTCTGATAATATTCTATTTCAGTTGCCCTCTGGATTTCCTCAAATCTGTTCCTCGACTGCCAAACCTCACTGCCTTGGGTAAAACAGTGGTGAGAATATAAAAAATATTAAGCTGATAATATAAATGGATACTTACAACAACATCTTCCCGCCATAACCTTGTGCCGCGTTCCCCGACAAAAATATCATCTATATCTATCAAGATCAACCGATCCAAGCTCAAACTAAGCTGGCCATGACTTAGATAGGACAAACAATCTAAAAATAGTAACCTGTGCAGCCAAAATTTCAGTCCTGACCCGAAAAATACCCTTTGAATTCCATCGTAGGTTCCATGATCCTGAAAACCGAAACACAATAAGTATAAAATTGGATGGAAGTGCTTTCAGGAGTAATGCTTTCAAAACTCTGAATTACTTACAATAAAAAAATACTTGAATAATTATTGGTATATTTATTGGAGTTCTGCTTAAGTTCGTTAATAATGGCATTTTCACAGTTAAATAAGGTAGTGATTTTTTACAATTCTCTGTCTTCAATAAATCACTGTCCTTAAGTACAACTTTCTTCCGAGACATTTTGGTTAGTTTGAAGGCAGAAAATACACTTTCAGAATGTATGCATCTTTATTATTTTAATGGTATTTTATTTCACTCTCATTCTATGGTCAAAACTAGGTTTACCTGGTTTTCCAATGCACTACAGACGTGTCATAACCCATAACTGAACAAAAATTGAATCCATGGAAAATTGAAAAGAGGAAAAGGAACCAATTCCGATTGAATTCCTACCTGTACAACTGTTGTTAGAGGCAAACCCAGCTTGTCTTCATGGGGATATGTGTTGTTGACTGCCCAGGCTAGTGTTTCATAAGTCGAGTGGTTGGCATGAAAAATCGTCCAATCGTTACCCGGCAAAGGACCCCACGCAGTTTCTCCAGCTCGAGTTAAGCGTAGAATTGTAGAGGCAGCATTTAATCCAGCATCCTGGAAAATTCATGGAATTAGATCAGAGCTTAAAGAAAAAAGTAGCCTGCTAATTGGGTAGAATGACAAGGAGACAAGGAGATAAAGATATTAGATATGCTAACTGAGAGATAAAAATACGGTCGATCATGTATTAGATGTTACTTCCTCATGACTTTTTAGGGTATTATATTGAGGAATAAGGAAAATTTCCACCATCCAACTGTAAGAACAGTAAATACATTTAAAGTAAAAAATAAGGTGAATTTGAGGATTCAAATCTTCTTTAATGCAGATTTAAATAATCCAATTTGTGCTTCCTTACTAAGCATTAATACTTTTAAGTTTGATATATACCTTTGAACTATATGTATGAAGACTTTTAAAGTGTAGAATTGCACGAATTAAACCTGCATAGCATTTTATGTTGTCTAATTTCCTCTACAATTTTATTTTCTTAAAAGAGAGCCCAACAACATAATGCCTGGAATCTTTCTGTACACTTGACCTGGCTCCTGAATGTTTTACTCGCACAATTTCAAACCAGAATCATGAAAATTTCTTTGTTGAGAAAATAAAATATGATAAGAAATTAGGCAAAGTCTGATGTAGGTAGTTCTGCTGATTTCAGTTAAGACCGTCCAATTCATATTCGGTCAGAATTGAGTACTTGATGGTCTAATATGGCCGGATTAACCTAATTGCCGCCCAAGGGCCGCCTGTATTTTGCCGCCCTCTTCTCATTCATTTTGAAACATCAATAAAAACCATCAAGTGAACGTGCCGGAGGGAGAAGGGTGCATAAGACGCATTCACTCGTGTTGGACACATTTTTTGCGTAAGCCCTGTCAACACTACTAGCAAAAGTTCACGGAACTTCGCGCGAAAGTTCAGTTCCGTAAACTATCTCTGTGGGGACAAGGCCTTTCATTTGTAAGAAATGAACTAAAAAATTAAGGAAGAACAAACATAAATGTGGTTTAATAATTTTAACTTCCGCCGCCGTGCCGCGCTGACCACACTGTGTTTGGCGCAATGCGTGAAGTATTCATGTAGTCTTGTAGGCACTGTGCGTTTCACGCCGCGCCGACCGCTGTTGACCTTACTGTGTTTGACGCAATGCGTGAAGTATTCATGCAGTCTCGAAGGCGCTGATATGTGTTACATGCCGACCGCCGCGTCGAGGGCTACTCCTTTTCATCTCAAGTCCTCGTCATCATTTCTCTTTGCGCCGCGCAGCTCCAGGCCAAATTAAGTGTTTGGTTTCTCTCTTAACTCAACTAATTAAAGGTGCACAGACTTTTGTATCACCGAAATACGACAAAATTAGAAATTAATGAACTCTCAGGAAATGAGAGATTTTTTCACCTTTTCTTGTTTGTAATTTTTTTCTGAATCCGATTTTTTTGTACCTGCATTTAAAAAAATTGCAAAATTTGCCGCCCCCTAATTTTGCCGCCACGGGCCGCGGCCCATGTGGCCACCCCCACCTCCTTAATCCGTTAACTTAAATAAATTAATGAGTATATAATATACCTTTAACTTGAGATTATTGGATATATAAAGAGGAAAGCCGCGGAGTTTTTCATTTTCAACGGTCAGCTCTCTGGATGGGGTGAAAGCAATAATTCCCACACTGTACTCCCGACAATATTTGTAGAGCAGATCTCTATTCCATTTATCCATTTCCAGGTACTTGTTGATGTTCTCGAAAACGATGACTCCATAGCGGCCTTTGTCCAGATAAGTCAGAACAGGAAGTGATCTCCCTGCTACTTCTACTTTGTACCTATGACACAAACACATCCACGGTAAGACAAGATATCACATACAACCCAATAAATTATAATTTCAATTATGAACTTCTGAATGCACTTTATTTTTATTTCCACTTAAATATTCTCCCCCTTTTTCTATTTCTTGGATCTTCGCTTCATCCACCTAATTCTCATAGCTTCTGATCCTCAGCCTTTCCTAGGTGTCTGAATCATTTGTTCCAGACCTTCCCTAAGTTCGATTGATAGACAAATGACCTCAAAGAAACTTAAACATACTTAAAATTCACTGGAAGCTACTTGAATTTAGTCCTCCGACCTCTTCACAATCTTATCTTCCAGATTCGGTCAGAACATAAGGGTTGATTATCCTCTCGTTGATTTTACCTCGTAAATTGACTAAAGTCACTTGATATCTTGATCCTACAAACCCTTCTGGCAACTACACTACGTCCTGCTATGCCAGAGTCTCTTGGGCCTTAGCTGTTTTTACTAGGTTCATGAAACTTGGGACTCGGGTGGTCATACCTCTAATCGCCGATTATCTGAGGCTCGGTCTATGTTTGAAACTTGTTTCGGAAACAGAGGTGGATCCAGCGATTTGGCATCACCGGATTTCCTCCACTTGAACCTGTGCAAAGTAATCGATTCTTGTCGGAGAACCTGGCCCCTTCTAAGAATCGATACATTTCCATAGGTTTAAATGGACGAAATCCAGTGTTGCTAAGTTGCTGGATCCGCCAATGTTCGGAAAATTTCAAAAAACCCGTTTTGACATTATTAAAATTGGGTCTAAGAAAAATTCTAGAACCGCCGTGGTTCGGCCATATAGTGTCATGCGTGCGTATTCAACACAATAAATAGACCTTCGGCATCTTCGGCCCAGTAAAATCTGGGAAATCTCAGCTTCGGTCGGAGAGGTTCTATCTTCACTGGGTCTTTTGATTGAGGTCTTAACCATTGGTCTCTGTGGTGCCTAGGGGCTGCGTAAAGAAAACCAGAGGACGGCGGCCATTTTTTCATTTGTGCCTTTCTACGTCACAAACCTCGATCCCTGTCCCCGACAAAATCCTCGCTTCTTCATCTCTTTCTCATCATCTTCCTCCTCACCTATTGGTTGTTCCATTTTACGTCATTAATATACACCAAAAAGTCCACTATCTATTTTTCTGTCTTTGTCGGGACTACGATGTGACACTATGAACGCTTGCCTCGGTTAAACATTTAGACGAGCGTCTCGAGGTTCCTGGAGACCTCTAGGCTCAGCGGGCTGATTATTGAACCTGAGGGCCTAAGCAATAGACAAAACGGACATAGGGAGTATGGAGCGATCCTAATGATTGAAATGGGTGCTTCCTATAGACAAATGGATAAAATGATGGACTAATTATGGGGTCTCTCATGGGTAGCCGTTAGTTAGTCTATTATCTGCCTCTTTTGCCCATTGCAACCATACTCTTCCACCAATAGGATTCCTCCATATCTCTTTTATCTTTTTTGTCTATTGCTTTGTCGATCAATTTCAATGATCCATGGATGATGGCTGGGGCCATCTCTGGAGGTGCAAGCCGATGAGAGTACTCACTTGATTCGGTTATGGACGAGGAGCTCGGCGATCTCCTTGCCGAGGCGGGAGTAGGTGGTCTCGACGAAGACAAGGACCTTGGGGTCGATGCGGAGGCGGGCGTCGCTGCGGTGGTCGTGGGCGGCGGCCGGGAGGAGGCGGCCGAGCTCGGAGGCGCCGGCGCAGTGAACGGCCGGCTCCAGGTGGGTGTCGGGCCGCGAGAAGGCCGCCCATGGCGATGATAGGTGGCGAGCGCAGTAGAGCATGGAGGCGCAGCACAGGAGCGAGAGCGCCGCCACGCAGCGCTTCACCGAGGGCGGCCGGAACGGCAGCCGCAACTTCCCGTGCATCGGGGCTGGGGCCGGGGCCAGGGCATGCCCGGGGCCGCCCGCCCCCTAGCGCCCCGCCCTCAAGCCCCAAGGCGCCCTAGCCGCCTTCACCTGAAACACACAAAAGCATCCATGTTAGAAACTCGTTGATAGGCCATTGTTCAAACATTCCTGAGTTCATATTGCAGAACTCCACGAATGAAGGCGTTCTTTCTCAAACATTCCTGAGTTGATACTGCAGAACTCCACGAATGAGAGCGTTCTTTCTCAAACATTCCTGAGTTGATACTGCAGAACTCCACGAATGAAAGCGTTCTTTCTCAAACATTCCTGAGTTGATATTGCAGAACTTCACGAATGAAGGCGTTCTTTCTCAAACATTCCTGAGCTGATATTGCAGAACTCCACGAATGAAGGCGTTCTTTCCAAAACACTCACGATTTTCACGTTCAGCCACTCAGTAGAACGCTTTTCGTCAATAACACTAAACCGACAAACGAAGTGCTACGATGAGAGTTGCAGATGCGATCAGAAACAAGGTAAAATGTAATCAGTTTTGCTGCTGATAAAGCTGGCGTAATAGTAGATTGTAACTAGTCAAATACAAAAATAGGAAGAAGAGATTGGTCTAGAACAAGTTTTGATGGATCTAAAGAAACAGAAAATTAATCATTACACCAGAAGTCAATCTTCATTCTCCAGTGGTGCTCTTCAGCCAAGGGGCATCTTTGTTGTCTCTGGCTGCCTTCCACTAGCTATGACCGCCCTCCTAGTGCTTTCTCGCGCTAATTCAACCCAAAGCAATTCTCTCAGTGTTCGTTTTAGAGGAATAAGAAGAAAAAGAAAGAAAAACGGGAAGAAGTAGAGGAAACAGAAAATCATATCTACTTCATGTTAAAATCGATTGGCGTGCCTACTGGATTAAATTTTACTAAAATTCGAATTCGTCTCTTTTCAAAAGCTACGTTAGATATCAGCTGAAGGCCTAGATACACACGGCGATTAATCCCCGCGAGTGAAAGACGAAAGCCAATGGAGAGCCTTGATTTCGATCCATTGACGTCGATACATCGAAATCAAGACTCTCCATTGGCTTTCGTCTTTCACTCCCGGCGATTAATCGACGTGTTTATCTATATGCCTTCAGCTTTGAAACTACTTCAATCGCTATGATTTTAAGGACCTCCAAGATAGAGTTAAACTACGTAGAAGGGCCATTCATGAGTTTCGGCATAAGAACTCGACAAGAAGATGAAATTACACTACTCCTTTCAAGTTTCAAATGACGTAAAAAATTATGAACGTCCAGGTCATAAAAAGGAGCAAAGGAAATGGTACCGGTCATACTATTTTAGGGTGAGGCGACAGAGCGGACGACAGGTTGTTATCATATCCCGATATTAAAAAAGAAGAAGAAGAAAGTTGAAAGTCGCAATATAGCGAAACGACATAAGTTAGTGCAGTGCGGAACGACGACGGTGCTCAGCTCGGCCGCGCGGGAGACAGGTGGTAGAGCGTCGTTCTTGGGCGCCGGCCAACCGAGGCGCGTCCAACAATTTTAATGCTATTTGCTCCAACAACCGGAATGCCACGCCGGCTTCTAGCTTGTAGCTTCAGTGGGACAGGGTCGATCGGAACCGAGCTTGGCCTCCTGACAATCACCACAGGGAACTGGAAAAAGACCGCCTGACTTTCACTCGAGTTTCAAAAAAATTATTTAGACCTGCGGGCTGATTATTGTAATTGATAGACAAAGCTACAGACAAAGAAGAATAAAAAAAATGGAGCGATCCTATTGATGGGCACGGGTGATTGCAATGGAGATGTTGCATGTGTGAGGAATTTGCGATTTGACCGTTGATTCTTATGTAAAAGTTGACGAGAAACCCGATGGTGCCACTGGTTTTCTCTGAAATCATCTCCCAAGCTCAAAAAAAGCTCTCAAAGTGAGGCCAAAATGGAGGGGATATCCCACCCTACCCTGAGAGTCCACCTCTACATCAAGACGAACCCTCCATGCAAATATAGGGAGCAAATACATTGACAGGGCTGCCACTTTATTTGGGGGCTCTAAAACTGAAAACATGGCATCACTGCTAATGTATATGCTCCCTATCTTTGCAAGGAGAGTTCGTCTTGATGTAGACGTGGACTCTCAGGATAGCGTGGGATATCCCCTCCATTTTGGCCTCAACTTGAGAGCTTTTTTTGAGCTTGGGAGTTGATTTCAGAGAAAACCAGTGGCACCATCGTGTTTCCCGCAAACTTTTACATAGTATTAGTGGTCAAATCGCAAATTCCTCACACATGCAACATCTCCATTGAAAAACGAGGTAAGTGATAAACTAACGGCAACTGATAAGAGACCCTACGGTCAGTCCACCGTGTTACCCCTTGACTAAGAACCCTACGTTGCGATTTTACGAGAGAACTTTCCGCGGATAACCTCTTGAAGTAATGAGAACAATACACCATCCACAGGATAAATAACAAGCCAATTGGGAAGGGGTCGATTCCCGAGCACTTTGCCGAGTGCTCTTAAAAACGCACGCTTAACAGGGGTTTCGTTCGCGAGCTGCGCTTTGCATTCACGGGGCGGTTGGCGCATCTCTCTTCGGCGCACACTAGACCGAGTCAATAGGAGAGGCCGGAAAAAATTCGGAAACTTGAAACGCTTATAACTCCGTTTATATAAAACATTGAGGTTCTAAAAGGTGATTTCCACATGTAATTTTCCTCTAGAGGCACCCTTCAAAATTCAAAATGTGACAAATTAAGCATCAAAGTTCGTAGTTTTACTTAAAAATTGTATGTCCGACCTCTCTGATTGACTCGATCCACTGTGCGACGCGGCGCGGCGGGGGTTCGCGTTCCTTTTGAAAAGGGCCCCCGGGAGCTGGTCACAGGGCACGGGAGGGGCCTGTCTCGAAGAATCACCCACGGTTCAAAATAAAGCTCTCTTGCTCGCACAAAAAACTGCTCGCTACAGAGGTGGAAAGTTCGCGCTTCAAAGGTTGCCAGACTTTGCTGTCGACGAAAAAAAGGGATAGGTTAGTTAGACAACCAGGACAAGTTCGCGCGCGAACTTTTCCGGATTCGGCAAGAGTTGATATTTTGAAACCCTCGAGGTCTCTACAGAAAAAAAGAAACACAAAAATCATTCTATGCGGGCCGCGGATCAAGAAGGAGGGCCTAGGAGACGCACCCCCCCCCCCCCCCCCNGGGGGGGGTCGACCCAAAAAAGGAGGAAAAGGAAGGGAGAAAAGAAGGAAAGAAGAAGGAAAAACTCTTGTATTTGCTAATTGTATGTCTTGTATTCATGACAAAATTCATCCTAATTGCATGGTATGCTAAAAAATTTCGAAAATTTTCTGGGGGAAGCCTGGACCACCGTTTCGCCCCTATTCGAAGTGTCTGGATCCCTATGAGACAAATATACACTGTAACTGCGCGCGCTTGTCGAGAAAGAACAGATCTGGACCCAAATTTACCACGCTCAGAATTTGGGAAAGTTTTGATAATATGTTTTTAAAGTTTCAAAATTTTCCATCCGTTGAATTCTGCTTTGTGCAAATGATCTTCGAGGGTGAAAACACTCCACACAAGCAGGTAATGGATACTTTTTCAAATGTCGTTTTTTGTGGATTTTTCCATGTAACAGTTTGAGGTAGGGGATTCCACGATTTCGCAGTAAAGCTGCGTGCGTTATTAAATACTCTTCCAGGAAAATATAAAAAAAGCTCATGATTTCTTCTCGAATCGGTAACAGCGGAGCTTTCGATCACAAACACGCTACTCCCGACGAATTAAAGCGTGTTTCGACAGCAATGTCTGCGCTAACGACACACGCGGGGTCGAAGAGCGCGGGCAAAAGAACAAAAAACGAAAAAGCAAACAAAAAACCCGCCCGAGAAAACCCGCCGGGGCTTCCTTTGTTCGAACTGCGCGGGAAACGACCATGGTTGCCCGAGTGCGCGACGAAATACCCAACGCAACATTATCCCGAATGAAAAACGTGGTTCAATCGTGGCACCATCCGGCAACTCTGGGAGGGAACGATTAGCGCCGTGCGCCCTTGTGTGCGTGCGCGCACCGACACACTTGCAAAACGTCTGAAACAAAACAAACGCTGCCGGAAGACAGTGGTAGGTTCGCGAGGGTTCCGGCCGCGGGGGGTGAGAGGAGGGCGCTGGAACTTGGGTAGGAAGTTGAGCTTTCGGAGACCCAGACAAAATTACGGAGAATCCTCCCTTGGATTGCTTTGTTACATCAACAGTTGTGCGCGGTAATGGGACTAAGTTTTCACGACAGTTTTCTACTAAGGTTTCTCCTCCTGCACATGGATTCCACGTTTTGCGACCTGAAAGAAAGGGCTGTTCACACCGCCTGGTCCCTTCAAACTTCTTCAAGTGATTGTTGAGATAGAAAATTGAGTGATGGTGTTTGAGATAGAGGTCCAGGTGGTTCAAACAAGGTTTAAATTATACTTTAATGCAGATCAATCTGATACGTACAAATTTCTTATTGACGTACATACAAAGAAGATGTACACGTAAAAATGCTCTTACTTACGTACACACAAAGAAGATGCGTGTGTTTTCCTGTGAGTTAAACACATAGAAATTATTTCAAATTTTGCTTTACTGCTAAATATTGCTGATGGGAAGATTTGATTGATCCGACAGATCGAAGTAATTTTTAGGCAGCTACAAACGCTCCTCCGTTGATTTTAAGTGCCAAATTGAGCAAAACCGATAGGTACAAGAGGAAAATAATTTACAAGAATTTGCGAGTAAAAATCTAAAGGGCTTTAAAACTTATTAAAACAATAGTATCGGCAGATTCATTTTCACTCGTTAAAAAAAAAACAAAAAAAAAAACATTGCTTTAGAGCCAATGATCCTAAAGAACAAAGAAGATTCGTAGAGGAGTGAAAGGTTCCAAAACGCGCAAAAGTTTATCAAGTTTATTCTGAGGATATGCAGGCCTCGTGATCTCAGGGATGGATTTAACAAAAACAATAAAAATAAAATGTAGCTTCACAACTCAGATGCGATTAGTCATCGTGATGATAAGCTTACTCAAAACTCACGAATCTTCGAGTTTTCCAG